CGCTCGATCGCCTCCCCCCCCCCTTTCCTGCCCTGCCGTGCCAGTGCTCGGATTAAGGGTCTGGTAGGACTGTTAGGGGGGACCCCACGTTTCCCCCCCCCCCATTTTTTTCAGGGATTTTGGGGGGAACCCCACGCACTTTTTTTTGTTTTAACTTGGGGGAGGGTTCCTCCTAAAATTCCTACCAGACCTAAAGGGTCTGGTATGAATTGGGGAGGAACCTCAGGCTTTTTTTTTTTTCATCTTCTGCAGACAGGAAAAAAAAGTGTAAAAAAAAACAAAAACATTTTTTTTTCTAATGTCACTTTGCTGTAACGAAATTTCGACCTGACTACCGCTAACGAATTTCGTCCGAATCCCGAAACCAATTCAATTGCGGACCCGAATCTGAAAAACGAAATAACGCAAATCCGAATCAAAACGAAACTAAACGAATTTTTTGCTGGTGCGCATAATAAGTACGTCTAATAAGTACGTTAAATAAATAAGGTGCCAGTGCACAACCCTGGTAGGCCTTTCGGCCAAGGTAAAGAAAAATTGCCCCAGGCTAGCCAAAAGGCCTGCTTAACAGGCGCAGTGCAGAAATGCATGAAGTGCCGTGAACAAGTAACAGTGATCACTGTGGGGGTCCCACTCCCAAGTGATTTCTGGCACACCCTGGGACACGACACCCAGGGGGCACAGCACCACGGGCCTCTGTGTCTCCCAACCCTCCAGGCAGACAAGGGCAGCCACATCCCTAGCAGAAGGCATTAGCACCAGAGGGATTCCCGCCTACAACTGGGGACAAGCCCGGCATAACCAGAATCAACCCAGGGGGAAAGGAAACCCACCCGGCACCCACCTATTACTCCAGAGAATACTAAGCAACCATCCGTTCCGGTGAATGGTGCAGTTCTTCTCTGAAAACTGATAAGAACAGATACTACATCTGATCTTAGCCAAAGGCAGAGAAGCGATAACTATTTCATTATGTTACTTCAAAATCACATCTATGTTTAGCAAGGAAATTGGAAGAAAATTGGGGGGTGCCACCGGCTCCTTTCCTGGTTTGGGCAAAGCTATTATTGTCGCCTTTAGCATTTCGGGCGGGAATGTAGCAGATTGAACGGCTGTCTGATATACAGGGCGTATGTAGGGGACTAAAACCTCTTTAAACACCTGATAATACTCCCCCGAAAACCCATCTGGGCCCGGGGCTTTATTTTTAGGTAATGTGGTTAGATATTTCCCCTTCTGTGATCTGTGCGTTCAGCGCCTCTAACTGATGTGCTGACACCGTGGGTAGATGTAGTGACGATAGGAAATTGTCAATATCGGTGGGCGAGGGATGCAGGACTTCAGTACCTCCTTCAATATTATACAGGGATTCACAATACGTAGCAAACTGGTCTGCAATCTCCCGTGGGTGTATATATTTCCTACCCGTAGTGGGATCTATCAGATGAGATATTCTGGTGGATGTGCGTCCTCCCTTCAACTGCCGTGCTAAAAATGCACCTGCTTTATTGGCATTGGAGTAGTACTGTAGGCGTAGAGATTTAGAGTACCTCTCAAACTTTTCCATCATGAGAGCTCTCAATGAATATCTAAGTTTAGTCAACTCATTGAGTACATTTTGGTCCTGAGAGATTTTATTTTGTGCCTCCAGATCCTGAATGGCTGCGAGAGTGTCCGCCATCCTTTTAGTTCTAGCCTTGCTCACCCTCGCCTTCATCTGGATGAGGACGCCCCGCATAAAAGCCTTATGTGCGTTCCACAAAATGGAGGGATCCGACACAGAGCCTACATTGATGGAAAAGAACTCTTTAAGGCGAGTGTTACAGTAGCTACGTTGGATTCATCTTTAAACAAGAGAGTGTCATTCCTCCAGGGGCGAAAAGACCGAGTGCAGGGTGAATTGGCTATCTGGAGGGTGACCGGAGCATGATCTGACCAAGTCCTTGGAAGGATGTCCGCTCTGACAACATTCTGCAAAAGCGACAACTCCACCAAGAATAAGTCAAGTCTTGAGTATGTGTTATGGACCATTGAGTGGTACTGTGTAATCGCGTTCATTGGCGTGGATGCAACGCCAGGCATCGTATAATTGTTCCCTAGCCAGGAAGGGAGAAAGTGAAGCAGTCCTACGTACCCCTATATTTGAACAATCTACATCTTTATCAGTGATAAGATTAAAATCTCCGCACATTATCAACGAGCCCTGTTTGACCTTATGAGTACTGTTTTAGGAACAAAAGACACAGTATTTCGGATTGCCACCATTACCCCCCTCTTTTTCTTTGTAGGCATGTTGGACACAGCATTATAGTTCTTGTGAGAACACCGTGGTACGTAATCTGTCCGAAAGTGTGTTTCCTGGGCACAAATTATATCTGCATAGTTTTTAAGAGCTTCCCTCCAAAACCAGGAGCGCTTAGCTGGATGATTTAAGCCTCGGGTGTTCAATGACAGAATTTTTAAAGACGTGTAAAGGGATGTACTGGTGGGATCATTAAAGGAATTTACATATCTGAGCATTCCAGGAGCAAGGGATATCTGGGCCCATCGAACCTCCAATTTCACCTGGAGGTGTATCTGTATAACCGTATCCGACATCCGTAGTCTGTGTACTCTTAAACATGAAGAAAAAGAGAACAAAAAGAAGAGAACAAAAAAGAAATGTAAACAGGTAACATAAAGATCACCTTAGTATAACCGTGTACAGAGGTGAGTTAAACGAAACTGTATGCAGTGCAATACTGCTCAACAATTGTTGGGGAGAAAACAACAATGCTTGGCTACACCAAGCCTGCTTGGATCTCTCTGGAGAGAAATTGACATGCTTGCTGTCGAGGCAATTTCCTTGCTAAACGCGGATATAAAAATTTACGCAAGGATTTTGGCATCTAGAATAAATGACATTCTCCCTAATTTAATTTAATCCGAGCAAACAGGATTTATTAAGGGGCGTCTGGCTCCGGATGCCACAAGAAGACTTATCAATATAATCCACCAGGCTGAGAAATCGGGTACACCTTCCCTTCTGTTGACGCTAGACACAGAAAAAGCGTTTGACAAAATATACTGGGGTTATATGAAGCAGGCGCTTGGCAAATTTGGTTTTACGGGTGCCATATTGCAGGCTATTATGGCTCTGTATTCGTGCCCCTCGGCACAGGTATTCACGTCTGGGATGGTATCGAAAACTTTCTGTATCAAGAACGGGACGAGACAAGGGTGCCCCCTCTCACCCTTAATATTTGATCTTCTAATAGAACCCTTCGCTGAGTCCATCAGAAGGGACATGGATATCACTGGATTTTTACTACAAGGTACTCACCATAAATTACATCTGTTTGCGGATGATATTGTTTTCATGATAACCAACCCTGTCTCTTCCCTAGCAGCGGTGCAGAGGGCTATCCAAAGGTTTAGTAAGTTGTCATACTATAAAGTGAATGACTCCAAGTCCAGTATGCTCAACATGGGGATCTCTCCAGACACCCAGAGAGTAATTTCCTCCTCCTTTCCATATAGGTGGAGTAATGGGTCTGTCTCCTACCTGGGCATACAGCTAACATCCCGAACATCAGACTTGTTCAAAGCTAATTACTTCCCATTATTGACATCCCTCCCGGGTGAATTACTCAAATTAGCGAAGCAGGAACTAATGTGGTCGGGGCGTTTGGCAGCGTTCAAAATGGTGATACTCCCTCGCATACTCTATCTGTTCCGTAACCGTCCGGATAGATCTCAAAGCTATCTTCTTTAAAAAATTACAATCTATAGTGAATGGTTACATCTGGCAAGGTAAAAAAGCTCGGTGTTCACATTCCCATCTAATCAAACACAGGAGAGTAGGAGGGATGGGGTTGGTGGACTTGAAGGACTACTACCTAGCATGTGTCTTGGATCAGCTGAGGCATTGGATTGGCCCTCACTCGGGTATTCAATGGTGCGAGATAGAGAGGTCCATGGTACCTGGGAATAACCTATTTAACTATACTGTTGGGAGTACGTGGCCCGATTTCCCCAAGACTCAGGTTTCACCCTCGATGGCTGTGACTGTTAGGGTGTGGAGAATGCTCCATACACCTATATGCAGGCAGGAGGGCATGATAAAGATACCTGTGCCCCTTGCAACGTGTGAACTGGTTGTTCCAGATATTTCCCTTCGATCTTGGGTGTCCAGGGTTCTCATACACGTGTCTGACCTCTATAACCAAGGGGCCTTCAAAACATTCCACGAGTTGGTTGAACAGTACAAGCTGCCTCGGCAAGAGTTTCATAGATATGCACAGGTCAAACACTTACTCTCCATTACCAGGGTAGTGGAGACACACGTACCTGCTGTAATATGGGAGTTCTACTCGAACCCCCATGTTAAAAGAAGGGGTATTTCCCTCATATACGGGGTGCTACAGGGGAAGACCTATTTTACGAAATCTTTGCCATTCCGTAGATGGGAGGAAGACCTGGGTACAACATATACTTCCTCTCAATGGTGTAAAGCGATCCAGTCCACCCAAACAGTGACTAAGTGTGTCAACTTATGGGAACTATCTCAAAAAATCAATCTGAGATGGTATTTGACTCCCTACCGCATGGCTAGGATATTTCCATCTCATTCCAATCTGTGCTGGAGAGGCTGTGGCCAAGTCGGCAATCTACTTCATATACTGTGGTCTTGCCCATGCCTACACCAATATTGGTCCTCAACCTTCCAGGCTCTTTCCTCCGTGGCGGGTAGTCAGATAACACCTGTACCTGACCTAGCACTCCTAAATCTAGGTATTGACAAACTTCCCACCCACGTGCGGGTAGTAGTGTCACATGTGCAACTCAGCCAGGAAGTGGTAGGCCACGTCACATGACAGAGCGGGGTCAGCGCATGCTGAAGCGCACAGTGCGCAGAAGTCACCAACTGTCTGCAGAGTCAATAGCTACAGACCTCTAAACTTCATGTGGCCTTCAGATTGGCACAACAACAGTGCGTAGAGAGCTCCATGGAATGGGTTTCCATGGCCGATTACTGAACCCTACAGACTAAGCCTGGGATGTTATTAAAGTTCATGTGCGTGTAAAGGCATCCCAATACTTTTGGCAATATAGTGTATATCAGGGGTGCCCACAAGGACGATCGCGATCTACCAGTTGATCGCGTAGCGATCACTGGTAGAGCCCACATTGCGATCGCCCGCACTCGGAACGCAGGCACATTAGTGCCTGCATTCCGGTCCAGTGCGATCTGCAAAAATAGTGCTCGCAGCATTTTTGCGGATCGCACTGGACTGGAACACAGGCACTAATGCAGGCGATCGCTTTGTAGGCGAGGGGCCTGCCTGCGCAGCCCACGCCCCCTCCCACCCCTGAATGCAGGTGTTTTTTCGTTGGTAGATCTCAATGAGCTCGTCATTTGAAAAGTAGATCTCCAGACGAAAAATAGTGGGCGCCCCTGGTGTATATCATTGTTTGTTTTGCCCATAGTTCAACCTGTGTTGTCTGAAATTCAGAGGCGCCATTTCCAATAAAACACTGAAAAACTAAACATTCCATGCAACCCCCGGGGTCCAGCCACAAGGGCAAAGCATTAAGTGAAACCCTCATTGTTAATAATTAGTGTATCGTGTTTTCCCTCCGCGGCAGTAATTGTCCTCCGGAGCTCCATCAATAAATAAATGGGAATGATTTCCTTCCATTATATATATAAAAATGCCGGAACTTGCCGGCGTCACAATGTGACATAATCCTCGTTGTGTAGATACATGAAGACACCGCGCACCTCCATCCTCATGTCAGCCCAAGTCATCTTCTTTGGTATTTGGGTTACAATTGCTCGTCATGCGGATGAGGAAATCCCCACAACTCCTCTCCACGCTTTCTGTATTCAATCTGTAATGTAAGCCCAACAATCCTTCTGCGGAGATGAACCCGGATTTCTCAGATTTACACTGTAAGAGGAATAATCTCTCATTTACATGTTATTGTACCGGATTTATTTTGTACTTTTTCTTTCTTTTTATTACACTGTCACATTTTATTGAATATTTTATGTTTATATTTTTTTTAGCTTTCATAATTCATGCCCAGTAGTGACCCTCTGGCCAAGGGATTTAAAACGAGGGGTTTCTATAACTGTATAACTTCAGGTTTGGTTGGTTAATTCCTTAAACCCTTTCACTGTCAGAGCTGTTTTTGCAAACATTTTTGCACACATGTTATAATCCAGATTTTAGGCCTGAAAATGACTGAAAACTCCCCCAGAGTTATACATTATCCAAAAGCACAAATTCTGTAGAATAAAATGGTGGCAAATTTTTACATCACATGATATTAGTACAACTGTTTAAAAAAATCAACATTATTATATTATTAAAAAAAAAATCCTTTGCATACGGGGGCCTCTCATGAAACCAATGTCCAGTTTTCGGTGGTGAAAAACCTTATACTTTCATGCATAATTCTGCACAAAAAAGTTACTTTTCAGATTGCAAATATTATGTGCCAGAAAAAGAAAAAAATTAAAACAATTACAATACCCTAAAATTAAACATTGACTACAAAAAATTTAAAAAAAACATACATTTAAATAAAATTAAAAAAAAACACATAACAGGGGAAAATAAAAATGATATATTGCATTGTAGTGAATATGAATTTAGGAATGAAAAATAGTGCTGAAGGTGTGATAAAGTGGGAAGCAATCATTTTAACTGAGAGGCCACTTTAGCATGCTTTAGTTGCTATTGCAGCTCCATGAATCAGGGTCATAGTTTTGGCGGAAAGTAATTTCTGATCAGAATGAGCGGAGCCAACCCAATACTGAACCCTACGGACTAAGACTGGGATGCCTTTCGAGTTCATGTGCGTGTAAAGGCGTCCCAATACTTCTGGCAATATAGTGTATAATAAAAATCATATATATATATAAATCTAACAAAATTATCAGTGTGTTTGGCACCATGTCACACTCTATACAGTTTTCTTGAGCAAATCTTTTTTTGTGTGTGCGAATCTGTTGCTTTTTAGCTGGAGATCCTGCCAGTAACGGTCCTTCCTGTTGCAGGCTGACAACAATGAGCCTTTGCCTGCCAGTTAGGAGCAGCGTTGTCAGCCGGCCGGGTGCGCTCCTTCAGTTGGCCATCGGGCTTACTATCAGGCCTAGCAGATGGGCAACCAGATGGCCAACTGAAGGACTGCATATGGCATGCTGGCAATGGTCCTTATCATTGTCAGCCAACAACAGGAAGTGCTGCTACTGGCCGCTAAGACACTTTGAAACAGATTCACAAATTGGTTCCATATACCTGTACCAGAGACCTCAGGATGAGAGAACAGTGAAGTATAGCCACTGCAACAGTACTAAACAGAAAAAAAAGACTACTGTATAACTCTCCATTAAAGTTTGTTGGCCATGAGAAACTGTGCCATGAATTTCCTCTACCCTCGGTGTTCATGTGCCAAAGCGATGGCCATGAGTGACCTAATAAGCCAGTAAGTGGCAACCTTTCCATCTGAAAATGCTGACTACTTGGCCCTCATGATTAGGGAAGATTTTTGTGTGAAATGAACAATTTTGTCTCATTGGCAGATTGGAAATTCAGTTTTGCTGATGGAATTGCTCCGGGAAAAGTATCCTGCCAGTAACACTCACTTCCTGTCGTTGGGTGACAGCACCTACTCACTGTACTGTATCTTTGAGGGGGCCCCTACTATCACCCTAGGGCAAGACTACAGAATACCTCCTCCTCTCCTCTTGTCTATTGTCATGGGGGGAGGTGTTTTTTTTACTCTACATAGATAGCTGGGAGCAATGTAACTGATAAAAGTTCAGTTGAGGCAAAGAGCAAAGGAAGTTATCAGCTCACTAGATTTCTGGCAGGACCCACAGGTCATTTTTGCACTTCTCGAACAGATATACCAAATCACTTTTAATAAAATAAAAGCGTAAAGGGGGGCAAATAACAGAAGCTCATTGTTAGGGTTTGTATTCACCTTAAGGGTACTATTTATGAACATTCTGCAGGGATATTCGCCATGTGAATATCTGTGAACATTCTTCTTGGTCAAATAATATTTTTTCCCTGGTTGAATGTAGTGTTGTAATAATACGTTATGGCCACAAGATGGAGTGAGGAGCATAAGAAACAAGCATGTATTTCTTATGCTACTCAGCTCCATCTAGTGGCCATGCTTATTACAATAACCATCTACATTCGAACCGGGGATCTCCTTCTAGTGGCCACAATGTATCATTACAACACTACATTTTCACTGGGAAAAATACACTATATTACCAAAAGTATTGGGACGCCTTTACACGCACATGAACTTTAATGGCATCCCAGTCTTAGTCCGTAGGGTTCAGTATTGGGTTGGCTCCGCCCTTTGCCGCTATAACAGCTTCAACTCTTCTGGGAAGGCGTCCACAATGTTTAGGAGTGTGTCTATGGGAATGTTGGACCATTTGTGAGGTCAGGTACTGATGTTGGAGGAGAAGGCCGGGCTCGCAGTCTCCGCTCTAATTCATCCCAAAGGTGTTCTATGGGGTTGAGGTCAGGTTCCTCCCCCCCAAACTCCCCCATCCATGTCTTTATGGACCTTACTTTGTGCACTGGTGCGCAGTGACCCCCAAACTCCTCCCACAAAGTTGGGAGCATGAAATTGTCCAAAATGTCTTGGTGTGCTGATGTCTTAAGAGTTTCCTTCACTGGAACTAAGGGACCAAGCCCAACCCATGAAAAACAACCCCACACCATAATCCCCCCTCCACCAAACTTTACACTTGGCACAATGCAGTCAGGCAAGTACCGTTCTCCTGGCAACCACCGAACCCAGACACGCCCATCGGATTGCCAGACAGAGAAGCATGATTGGTCACTCCAGAGAACACGCCTCCACTTCTCTAGAGTCCAGTGGCGGCGTGATTTACACCGCGGCATCCCACGCTTTGCATTGCACTTGGTGATGTAAGGCTTGGATGCAGCTGCTCGGCCATGGAAACCCATTCCATGAAGCTCTCTACGCACTGTTGTTGTGCCAATCTGAAGGCCGCATGGAGTTTGGAGGTCTGTAGCTATTGACTCTGCAGACAGTTGGCGACTTCTGCACACTGTGCGCTTCAGCATGCGCTGACCCCGCTCGGTCATGTTACGTGGCCTACCACTTCCTGGCTGAGTTGCTGTTGTTCCCAGTTGCTTCCACTTTGTTATAATCCCAGTAACAGGTGACCGCGGAATATTTAGTAGCAGGAAATGTCACGGAACACCCGAATCCAATGATTTGGAGTGGTGTCCCGATACTTTTGGCAATATATTGTATAGTAAGAACATTTGTTTATGGTATTATTGACCCAAAATACATTTTCACAGATATTCCCAGAGTAAGGGGCCTGCGATCTGTTTATAAATATATTTTATATCTTTTTTGTATCTTTTTTTTTTTTTTCTGTTACGTTAAATGTTTTACTTTGTTTGTTTATTGCATTGCAGCAAACTGATCATGGATTTAAATAGGACAATTATCACTGAGGTCATTCTTTTAGGATTCTCCACCGATCAAAAGATAAACATTCTGCTTTTTGTTCTATTTTTCATCATCTATTTGGTAACTTTCATTGGAAATGTTCTTATAATATTCCTCATCGTCTTCTACCATCAGTTACACACCCCAATGTATTATTTCCTTTGTATCTTATCCTTCGTGGATTTGTGTAATTCCTCCACAGTGGTGCCCCGCCTCCTGGCTGACCTTTTCTCTGTACGAAGATCAATCTCCATCGGTGCTTGTGCCATCCAGTTCTACACTGTTCTTCTGATGGGAGGTTCGGAGTGTCTTCTCCTGGCCATCATGGCCTACGACCGATACGTTGCCATCTGCCGACCTCTTCGTTATCCCATTTTGATGCGATGGAGCGTTTGTTACCGGCTGACTGCCTTCTTGTGGATAACCAGCTTCTTGGTGTTTGTTTTCCCGCCCCTAATATCTCCCGTGCCGCTGTGTAACCCAAACCAGATCAACCATTTCCTGTGTGAAATTCTGGCCATCATGACCTTGTCCTGCTATCATGTTTATTCAGACGAGCTTATGGTCCTCGTTATATGTTTTGTGTGCATGCTCTTGCCCTTTCTGTTCATTCTAGGGACGTACATTTCTATCATTGCCTCCGTGTTGAAGATTCGCTCAGCAAAAAGGTCCAAGGCTTTTTCCACGTGTACGTCCCATATTACTGTGGTGGTTTTATTCTACGGGTCGGCGTTGGTCATGAACTTTGGTGCCACATCACCCTACTCAAAAAGCCAAGGCAAATATATTTCTTTATTTTATCTTATTATTTGTCCGATGCTGAACCCCCTTATTTATAGTCTGAATAATACGGAAGTGAAGGATAGGTTGAGGAAACAAAAGAGATGATCTCTTGGTTTGTAATTGGGTAATAAATGATTGATTCATAATGGTCCTCACTATCCATTATTGATGGTCTGTTCCCTCTACTTTGAACAATGAACTTTCCAAACATACTGGGGGGAATTTATCAAAACTGGACCACACAGAATCTGGAGCAGGTGAATAAGCTTCTCTCTTCAGTTTGTGCACTTAAAAGAGTGCTTTTCCCCATAGTTATCTTAAGGGACATATACTAGCGTCCTCCCGTGACCCAAAGCTCAGTATATCCTGAGCTACAGCTTGCGGTATACTGAGACCGCCGCTGCCGGGACAGATCCCGACAATGCTGTCGAGATCCACCAAGCTGCGTGAATGACAGTCACCAGACCCTGCACAGGCTACGTCACCAGACCCTGCACAGGCTACGTCACCAGACCCTGCAAATGCTATGTCACCAGACCCTGCAAATGCTACGTCACCAGACCCTGCAAAGGCTACGTCACCGGACCCTGCAAAGGCTACGTCACCGGACCCTGCAAAAACTACGTCACCAGACCCTGCAAAGGCTATGTCACCGGACCCTACAAAGGCTACTTCACTCGCCCCCTCCCCGTCCGTTCCTCCAGTCAGCACTGGAGGATTGGAGAGGGGGGAATCCCTGCGGGGAGTGGTGGCTGACAGTCACGGCTCTCTGCAGGGAGATGATCGGAAAGTGAGCGAGCGACGATATGTGTTCTCTCACTTCCCGATCTATTGAGCCGACCTGTGACAGTTTCATTGTCACACGTCGGCTTGAACTATGAGGATGAGTGATTTTTCACTCACCTCATAGTTCTCCTTTTTAGCTTTTAAAATGAAAGAGAGGAGCTGATTGGCTGATTCCCCTCCCTGAGTTTAGTATTCACTGTTGATCTGCATACAATGTAGAATATGTGCTGGTTTCAAAGGCCTGAGAACATTTGTTGACTCTCAGCTTGGCTTCAGCAAGTAAGGTCCACTGATTTCTATGCATAGACAACGAGCATCTGAAGGAGGTCAACAACTGCAGCCCCATATTTATCTTCAGAAAAGGAATTAGGACCTAATACAATAAGAAATAATCTTCGCAGGAACATGTTCTAGCAGGTAAAAAATATTTTCCAATAGAACAAGTTATAAAGGGTTTCTTATACAAGATGTTTCCACCCTGGAGCTGACTTGCAGTCCCATTAGTTCAGGCAGTAGTTGGCCAGTGTTGGGGGACGGCTTGGGAGGTTCAATCCTTGACTGGTGAGTAGATGGACACAGAGACCTCATGACTCAGGTCAGGGGTAAGAGTCAGCTGGTATACCTGCATAGACTCTGAAGGTTGGGAGTCACTGTACTAGGCAGTGCTCTAGAGCAGCGGTTCTCAAACTGTGTGACCTCAGGACCCACATTTGTCCTTGGTCATTAAGTCGCGACCCAAGTCGCGCCGCACTGGAATGCACGGCCTTAGGGTACCGTGGGTTCCGGTGCAAGCATACAAACTGTGGGTGGAAGTTGCTAGAGGGCCAGACCATTATAAATAGGGAAGCAGGTTGTTTACCACGACAGTAGAAGTTATTTTTTTCTGAAGATACCGGGAAACAACGCAATTTAACAGCCTTTGAACGCGGGATGATTGTTGGCGCTCTGAGCCATGGAGCGAGTATCAGCAAAACAGCAGAATTCGTTAAATGTTCAAGAGGGGCTCATTGTTAAAGTGTTTAAAGACCGGACTGTCAGACGAAAATCTGGGTCTGAGTGTGCGAATTGTGGCCGTCAGCGACTAGTCAATGTTAGGGCAGAACGGGGGAGGGGCAAGACTGGTACAAGACAACAGAAGGGCAACAGTGCAGTGTCAGATTCCTCGCATCACCTTTCACCATCTCGTGGAGTCACGAGGCGGCCCAACGAAGTACTGATAGGGTGGTCATAATAATCTGGCCACTCAGTGTACACTCCAACAAAATATTAATCTAATTTTTTTTAAGGTCCACCCGGTCTCCATACCTTCTGAGAACTGGAGTGGATCCTCAGCCTGGGGTCCAGTGTGGGCTGCTGTGCAGTGACAGAGCTCCATCAATATGTGCATTGCTTGTACAGTACCTAGAAGTTCTGCCTGCTGCACATGATAGCATAGGCATGTGTGGTATCCACCTGATTGTTATCTTCTCACACATCAGCGTAATCACATGCTATGAATGTAGCTCCATTACAGCACTAATTATAGATTATGAATGGATTTTGGTTCTGGTAGTTTTAAAAAACAAACAAACCAGGATTTGCTTTAAACCATTCCTAGACTGTTTTACGGCGGTTTACAATAGAGCAGCATTAAGAGTCTCCGGTTTTCCAGACTCTCGGCTAATTACTGCGTACTACCACCATTTAGCCATTTATGACCAGGCTCATTCACAGTACAAGTTTGCAGATCCTGGCCAAGCTGTTTCTGTATTTCATTGCCTGATCTGCTTGTGCCATTAGCTGGTTTTAGTGGGGGGAATCATATGAAATGTGTCTGTTCTTTGGCTGGCCACAGTCACAAATCTGATCGTTTTGACGCGGACTTGCAAATTTTGAAAGGAAGGTGGCACTGCGTTCAGTACGATGCCCCATTTTCCACACTCATCAGACCTCATTATCGTCACACTCTCCTCTTCTAGTAGCCTCTCATTACTGTGTGTGCTGGCCCAGCTTCTCTGTGCCTCCCCTCATCTCCCTATATAGCCTTTAAACAGGAACTTTAGCCATATCTTCAAAATAACAACAAACACACCGTTAGTAATGACAATCTACAAACAGATATGTCTAGATAATTGTCGGCTTTTTAATTTTTGCATACCTCATTTTGCTTTTCTTCCTCATTCTTCTGACGGTGTCCATTTTGACTAAGGGCGGGTTACTAGATCTCCCTTTACTTCCTGGAACTCTGGCGCATGTGACTATGACATGTGACCGTGCACATCATCTCAAGGGAGGAAAATGCCTTTCCCTGAGATCTTGTGAGATTTCCCAACAATGCTCTGCTGATGTAATCTGCCCAGGATGTAAGGCTTGGTCCATGATTATATCATTTGTGCCAAAGTGGACCAGGGAGTGGAAAAAATGTAATTGTAAGTAAAATAAAAATATGTTTAGCTAATGAATGTAAGATGATCATAGCTGGGTGCTAATGTGATTGGTCAGAGGGAGGGTAAATGTCCACTTTAAATGTAGCTATAGAGAAGGGGGTAAAGGGGAGTGCTATGGAGTAGACATGTGCACAACAAAAACAAAAATTTTCAAAACGAAACAAATGAAGTTTCATCAAAGGAAACACATTTTTTATGTTTTTTCTGATTCAGAGGCCTCGAATACGAATCCGCACACTAAAACTGCAGAACGAGCGGTGGCCATATCAGCCGCCGGCGTGTTCTGCATGCCGCTAGCGTGTTCTGCATGCCGCCGCCATTTTGGAGTAGATCTTGGTATCCGCATGCGCCCCGCCATTTTGGAGTAAATCTTGGTACCGCATGTTCGAGCGCCGCCATCTAGGTGTATACCAAAATCTACCCCAATATGGCAGCTCGTTCCGCGTGTGATGTCACCGTCATGTGACGTCACACACTCCGCCTCCAATATGGCGGCAGGCATGCGCAGAAGATGTTGGCCACCGGCGTGTTCTGAAAACTAATCTATGTATGCCTCAATATCGTGTTAGTATATTCGGGGCATATATTACATTTGTTATTTTGGATTCAGACGAACTGCCGAATCAACTGATTTTTCGTTGATTTGCAGGTGTTTCCCCGAAAATACCTCTAGGTCTTATTTTCGGGGTTGGTCTTATTTTGGGGGAAACAGGGTATGGAGTATCACTTGTGTGACAGTTCCGAGTCTACTGAGGCTGCTGACATCACAACCAAAATGGACGGCACCCAGCAGAAGTCTCAGGGCTTTAGGATGTCTACACAAGGGAGGCGTATACAATCAAATAACATGCATGCAATGCACATAGGATCTTTTGGGCAGATTGTTGTTACAATGAAAGGCGACAGGGTTTCTTTAGGGTTGGACTTGATGGGCGTTCGTTTTTTTTTTAAACTATGAAACTAAATTTTTGTGTTTTGCTGGGAGATCTCCTTAAATCTCACAGGCACACTGAAAATACATTGAATCACAAATCTCTTGTTAATAGCAATTTAAATTTGTTTGCTATGCAGAAATAATTGTTCTCAGGAGCTCAGGCACTATAAATAAATAAATAATAATCATAGGAAATATAATTTCACCTTTCAGACTGGACTGCAAGAGCTGCCACACCGTAGAATGCAGCATGTGTGTGTTCCCCCGTCTATTCTCCACCTTCCTTTTCTTGTCTTACCAATTTATATTTTATTGTACTTTTGTGTTGTATGTTTGTTTAACACGTTTAAGGGTAAATATGCTATTTGTAAGAAATGTTTAAACACCGTGATTTTAATATGAAAGACACATTCTACTATACATTTCTTCGCACGTGGTGGTATTTTTGCCTTCCACTTTCACTGGATTGTCACATTTTAAAGCATAGAATTTTTTTTTTATAATTTTACCATCTAGAATTTAGGCACTGTAAAAGCATGTCAGAGTGGGGGCTTTTAACCCTTGATGCCTAGATGCCCAAACCAAAATTAGCATCAGCTTGCATTTGTTAAGGGCTTGTTCACACCAAATCCGGATCAGACCTGCATGAGTTTCTGCAAATGCAGTGCAGTGCGTTTTTGCCACAGTTTTGCCTCATTTGTGCCGCGTTCCGGTCCGGGGTTTTTTTTTTTAAAGCCTAAAATGCGCTTTCAGTGTGTTCCAGGGTGTTTGCATACGTTTGCATGCATTTTGATGTGTTCCAGAGCAGAAAAAAATAGGACATGCTGCAGTTTTTCCACATGCGCTGGAACTGAATGCTATGGTGGGAACTAGAGCCCAAAATACCATTGGAATACATTAGATGCATGTTTGATGTGTTCTGCAACTGCTCTGCATCTGCCCCGCACATGGTGTGAACA